GTATTAAATATCACTAATAAGTTATTATAAAGCTTGATTAGGACAATATATAGTAGGTGTAAAATAGTGAACGTGTCTTAATGAGACAAGGTGAGGGATTTTTATACAAACCCCACTCCTAACTGACACCCCCTAAACCGGGGGTGGTTGAATATGCGTGTTGACCGCGCCTGGGGTGGAGCCTGTTTATGGCCGACATCTTTGGGGTCGGCACCTACCTCGACCGAGGCCTCGTGGGCCGAGCACGAGGCTCAACCTCAGGGGCCCGAATCTTGCTCCACCTCCTCGGGTCGGTTTGCTCCAGTCGTAATATATTCATCAGTGTGTTCGAGTCTCAGTGGAGGCGGACTATCGAACTATTAGTTCTTTGTGCTTCAGTAGGTTGAGAAAGTACTTATAATAAGTGCCACCGTGGGTGGAACTTTAGACTCCTTATGCACAGAGTAAACAAATAGTTCTTTGTGCTCCAATAGGTTGGTTGAGAAAGTACTTATAATAAGTGCCACCGTGGGTGGAACTTTATACTCCTTATGCGCAGAGTACACAAATAGAATCGGAGTGAAAACTTATAATTGATTTGACAATTCGCGATTTACCTCCTGTAACACGTACTCTTGGACAAGGGTTATTGGAGATCAATCAACTCGTGATTTACCTCCGTTTTAAAAAAAAAAAAAAAATGAATCTGATCTACTCCCAATCTAAAAAGATCTGGCTAGTGCAAGGAGGTGGTTTCTCAAATATTTGCTGACAACCAACCAACTGTACCTGCTCCCCTTTCCAAATATTTCCTCATGATAATATTTCTCAAATTTCTGCCTAAGCTAACTTAGATGGAGAAATCAATATTATAACAAAAAAGAACACACAAACACCAAAAATACTCTTTAAAGTTTGATTTGGATTTGGATCCACAAAAGTGACTTCTGGTATAGTACCATCAAATCCTAACCAAGATCACTTACTAGTGAAAAAAGATCAAATTAAATCCTCCAAATTTAGAAGCCCTGATCAGAAATAGATTTATTTAGTATAGAGTAATTTAAGCCTAGATGCACCATCAATCCACAATCTGCATAATATAAATGATGTAGTGTAAATAATTTGTTGAAGAAATCACTATATATTTCCTTTGTCAAATAAGGTTAATTAATACTATATCAATTAAATGTAAAGTGAAATAGTAAAATCTAGATATTCATATCAAACATTAAATATTTTCTAAAATTAGCTAGGTTTATCAAAATTTGTTGACATGTTGCATTCTACCAAAATTTCATAGGGGAATGTATTGAATTGGTAGCAATAAATCAGTTAATTTTTTTTTTTTTTTTTTTTCAATTCAAGTGAGGCTAAACGGCAGCATAACCAAACCTCTAGGAATCATTCTGTTGGAACATTTTCCCTACCTCCTATTAGCAATCATAGCAAGCTAGCTAGGAGAAACATATCCAATTCAAGTAAAGGCTAAATGGTAGCATTAAGCATCAATGTAATTAATGCACTAGTATAAACCAAACCTCTAGGAATAATTCCCTTAGAGCATCCGCATCAGTTGGGGAGATTTGGAAGATAATGTAAGAGTGATTAGGAGAGAGAATGTGGGAAGGGGAGGAAAAAAAAAAAAAAAACCAAAACTGATTTTTAAAACAAAAAAAATTCAAAGAAAACAGACGCGTCAGGCGCGCCTGACGCGCCTCCGGACGCGTGCACTGCACGTGCCCGGACTTTCTCCTCAGTTCCGTGATACGCGCGGAACTTATCACGGAACTGCGCTGTTTTTTTTTTTTCCTGCCATTCTCCCCTTCTTTGCAGGAGAATTATTTTCTCCATTCTCCCATCTCTTGAGCTGCATATTTGTGTACTATTATCCCCATATTATCCTCTGATGGGATGCTCTTAGCTTCTTCAATATAAAAGTGTGCACACGATTTAAGCGGCATTTTAATTTCAATTCTTATATTGCACACTAATATATTGCACTATGCACACGTTCACATTGAATTGCACACATACACATCATGCATAACCACCACCAATAAAGAAAACAAGGCTAAAATTCATAGTTAATTCATACATACCTGACTAATGTACAAATACATCATTAGATGCAAACCACACCACAAACAAATGAACATGCATATGTACTATAGTGCACACACATCAAGTTTACAATACACACACTGATGATACACATCATATCACATGAACATATACACTAAGTCATTGCAAGATGCACACATACGACGAAAACTTAGTCGTGAGGAATTGAAGAAGATTACAATTGCAAAGAAATTCAAATTTACAATAAATCTCCCCTATACTTATATTTGGGAGTTGCCATTTGCCCCTCGAAAATGGCACCCCTTGCTTACCATTGATTTCAAATCTAATGGATGGAATTTTTTTATCTAATTTTTGATTTATTTTTTCATTTTAATTGCCCTCAATTTTTAAAGAAATAACAACTTTACCATTACTTTTTTGACTTCTTGATGTGATCTTTGTCTTCTTTTTTTCTCCATCATTCCAACACTCCATTCTTCTTTCTTTTTTCCATTCCCTCCCTCAAAACCAAATCAAATGTCCTCCCGCATGTTCCTAATTCAATTCTTGTATATCATGTTGGTATCTAAATAACTTATTTATGTATTCTTATTTATTTTGTCATATAACACTTATTAAAAATTATATATATTATTATTTAAAAATTAGAACATACTCGTTTTAAAAATAAAAAATAAAAAAAATAGAACATACTAATTGATTATTGAGCATGACGTTTCGCGCAAAGCGCGTGCCCCCAACTAGTTAAACTCATAAAATCAAGTATAACATCATCCTAAAATCATTTCAGCATTCAAAACACAACAAAATTACCATAGCACCCATATGTGAATAAAAAGGAAAATAAATCTAAATAAATCCAAAAAATAATAATAATAATCAAAGTCTTACACATATGACATACCCCAGATTTTGTCCACAATTTTTACGCGGGGAAATGGTTCTCATATGAACTCGAATATATATATATATATATATATATATATATATATATATATATATATATATATATATATATATAAAAGAGTCCAAGAGAGTTAGGCCTATAATGGGTAGAAAAAATGGCGGTCAAATTTTTTAATCAAATGAATGGCTCAGATTGATCAGATTTTAATTTTTCCTTAAGATTTCCTAATTTATCCTTAATGAATATGATTATCCGTTAACTTTTCTGTTAAATATTATCTTTTTCGTTAATGTCTGTTAGTTCACCGTTAACTTACTCATTGATTTCAATAAGAAAGGTCATATGTTCGAACCTCATCCCAATCAAAGTTGGCATAATTAGTACTCTATTTTACTCTTATTAAATTAAATAATAATTTAGTAGCTACACCAAAAAATAATACATATGCATTTCTTTAATTTAGGATTATGTGTTTACAATGTCTTTATTCAAAAAAAAAATATATTCATTATCAATAAATTAAATAAGAGAAATAATTTCATTAGTTATATTGTATTTATTTTTCTCTAATATAAAAATACTTTACATTCAAATTCATCAATTGATTATATTCGCTACATTGTCCCTACAATGTCTTTATTAAAAAAAAAATTATTCATTATCAATAAATTAATTAAGAGAAATAATTTTATTAGTTATATATATTGTCTTTATATTCCTCCAATGTAAAAATTCTTTACATTCAAATTCATCAATTGATTATATTCACTATATTGTCTATTATTTTTTTTTGTGCACTATTTTTTAATTAAATATCAAAGTTATAATACAAAATAATGCTATATATTTATTTACCAAGTATTTTATTAATACCATGAAAAATTAAAAAATATATATATATAATTAATAATGTCAATCATATTAACTACTCGAGGGATTTGTTGACAAAGAGAGTATTCAAATCACACAATAAATTGAAGTGAGAACTACCTCGCAATGTCCTTGTTTGACAATCAGCAGTTAGCGGTTAGCGATTATATCAACTGTTGGTAAAAAGATATTTGAAAATATTAGTTGTTTAGATTAACATGTAAAATGACATAATAATAATAATAATAGTAATAATAATAGTAGTAGTAATAGTAATAGTAATAGTAATAGTAATAGTAATAGTAATAGTAATAGTAATAGTAATAGTAATAATAATAATAATAATAATAATAATAATAATAATAATAAACATTGGGCATTAACCCAATCGCGCAATGCGCGTAAAATAACTTGTATATATATATATATATATAAAGTTTCATGTTGAATGCACGAAGAATGATTTTTTCTTTCTCATTTTTATTTCAATTTTTTTCCTTTTTTTTCTTTCTCAATTTTATTCCATTATTCAAAAAGTAGTTAGGGAGGAAGAGTGTACTGAGTTCTATTATTATATATATCAAATGAACAAGTCAAAATTATATATTGGAAAATGGAAAAAACCATTTAATTAGATTGTTACCATTTGAGATTGTAGATATCATGATTTGTATACTCGTGAGAATATTATAAAATATGTTAATAATTTTTCTAATTTTTACACATTATATAAACTTTATAATTCATATATGACACTTTTTTTTTTTTATTGTTTTGGTCTAACTATTAATATTTTTCACATTTGGTGCAATACTTTAAAACTCTATAATTCAAAAGTTAGTTTTGTTATTAGCTTAAAATTATATAAGTATAATATTTGTAAATAGTGTGTGTGTGTGTGTTTTTTTTTTAATCTGATTTTCAAATATAGACAATAATTTGATAGAGAAAGTGACATAAAATACATATTTTGCCCTTATTTTTAACAATCCAAATGTCATTTATATGAGGGGGAAAATGCATAACATTCAAAATAATTGAGAGACTAATATAGATACAAATAATTCAGAAAAAAAAAAAACAAAAACAAAAACAAAAAAAAACAAAAAACAAAAAACAATTCAAGGGCAAAAAGTATCAATTTCCCCCCAAAAACACAATCATAATCTAAATAGTTTGCCATTCTAGTTGGAAGGTGATGTGAAATATCAATTTTCACATTTTTGAATTATAACATTAAAGTTGAGAAGCATATACACAGTTTTGATTACAGATAAAATTTCCAGCACTAAACATCTTACATTATAACTGTCTAATTTCTAACTAGCTTTTCAGTTTTCACCATATAGATTAAAACAAGCATTTTCTGATACTTACAGTAGCAGGTTAAAAAAATGGAGAACAGCTGTACCAATTTGTCCAACTGGGAGGGGAACTCTGGAAACAAAATTTTTGCCATCACATACCCTTCTTTGGAACATGACAGTGGTGGCTGCAATTGTTGTCTTCCTGTACGCAAAGGACTATACAGTTGGTGAGAACAGAAATGCAGTTTGTATCAGAGGAATATAAGGAAAGTGATGATCACTTTTTTTTTTTTGGTCACAGACCACGAGGTGTCATGAGCAGACCCTAATTGAAGGAGGCACCTTTAAGCACATACCATACTCAGACTAATCCCCGTTCACACCAGGCTAGCCCAATTAAGGGGCAAACTGATGATCACTTTATTTGTACACAAAAATCCTCCTCATATACAAATGTTTACCCACCTTTGGTCTGGAGAGCAGACCATCTGTACAACCACCCTATTGAAGCAAACTAGCAAAGCCATACACCAGAACAACTGCTGGTCTTGCATTTTAGAGCTGTATGTATTTAGTCATTCTTCCGCCTTTATGTAAACAACAATCTATCAAGAGCTCAATTGCAAAGCATAAACTGTACAAATGACCTGGTAAATTATAAATGTCAGTAATAGAGAGGTAAAGGAAAGCCAGTTACATAATAAACTGCAAAATAGGAAGTTACCTGAGAGCCTAAAAGTCAATCCTGATGCTCATGACTCATGGTTGGAGAAACGGGTTACCAGGATCAGTAATCAAATAATGAGTTCGCTATGTTATGGGTTTCTGTCAGGTATCAAACCACTACCTCTTGGATCTAAGATCCTTATTTAGAAGAAACCCGAGGCATTAAAGAATATCTCAACTAGAATTCAGCTATGGCTATACATACAGGGTCAAAAATAGATGGGTCTCATATTGGAATTTCAGTCATCCTGGTAAATCTCTTTCTAAATGATCCAGCCTATCTGCGTCCACTGTATCAACAGAGTGGAGCAAAAACATGTTTTGCATGCTTACATTTCAGCGCTATATTGCTTCCATTGCGATGCGTACAAGACGCAGAAATCCATCCACATCCTGGAAGTTGAAATCCAGGGCCTTTCTAACAGATAACATAGCCTCTTTGCACAGAGCCTCTCCTTTTCTTGGATTAGCAGCTGCAAAAGCAGCTCTTGATTTTCTGGAGGCATCCATTGCAAGACTAACTTCCTGGGCCTGAAAGTAATGACAGTTCATAAGACTATAGCAGAAACCAATATACCACACCAAATTGTATAAAGCAACAGGCTCAAAAGTGAGCACAGAAGCCAAAGAAAAGGAGGATAAATGTGAATTTGTAAACTAGCTAGCTATGACATTCAGTGGGTATAACTAGTTCTGAAACTAACAACTATGATTATGGAAAATATTTCCTCATGTAACCCTTTTAGTTCCATACAGGAACAAGTCCTGGAGCCCAAGGAGCGCAGGAAATCAGGAATGCAGGATATAATCCAGTATTTCCATATCTGTTCAGAGATGCATCAAGGACAGGCAAAATCAGCAGGCTTTCTTCATACTCAATTGCAAGCATTCCAGTCATCAGACCCGAAGTTTACAAGTCAAACGTTTTCTCAATTAGCCCTCTATTTCATTTTCCAAAATGTGAAGCAGACAATCTCAGATTCTCATTGTAAGCTACTTGCTGTAACATAATATCAAAATGCAGTAGAAACACTGAACACTCACAAAATTGAGAAGCCGCATGAAGTTGGAACGATTTCTTGCTGTAATAACTTGCGTTACTGTGACTTGTGGAGAACCAACACCTTTAGCCGAGGCAACCTTGTCTACAGCCAATGGATTGTTTAAATTATCAACATCAGAGGCAGAAGAGGGTGGGGATTCACCTAGAATGCAATAAGAACTATCATAAGAGTCATGTCAAAGAAACAAAACTAAAGCACATCATTAAGACTCGTAAATGCTGCTAAAAATCTTCTATGACTGTTAAGTAAGTTAATGCGCATTTAACTCCAGTAGTCCACTTCATGTCAGCTTCACTTAACTTTAGGGACCAAAACTTGCAATCCTGTTTATCCGAATGAAAATGTAACCTATTTTTTAATGCTAAAAATCAAAAAATGTAAAAATCTATTATACATAAATGAGAAATATTGTTACTAAACTAAAGCAAATGACATCCATTATGATTTTCTAATAGCATTGCAAGCCACAAGATGGAGAAGCAGTGATTTATAGTTATAACTTCAATTGCCAGTAGTAACCTAACATCTGAAAGGAGGAAGATTAATGAAGAACCATAAAATCACATTAATATGGACATTTTCAAATCACCTGGTGGAAAGATTTGCAAAGCTGCTTGTAATTCATTTCTGTATCTGTTTGCACTGGTATGTGAGAAATAAATTACACGCATATATGCAACCTCCATGCATTTATAGGCAAGAGCAGCAGCAGCCATGTCCTTGGATCTTTCATATTCATGAGCACAAAATCTATTAAGAAGACAATTGGAAGCCAAATTATGTTTCGACACTTAAATTGAAATCATCCATAACAAATCCAATTGAGGATAGCATTGCAATTTCATCTCTAAGAACGAAAAGAAACATACAAATATTAACCTTTAGAAGCAAAAGAATCTCTCTAATGCTAGAGGGGAAAAAAAATATAAATAATAATAATAATAATAATAATAATAATAATAATAATAATAATAATAATAATAATAATAATAATAAAAAGTGAAAAGCTTCACATATCTTACTCGCAGAGTTTTGCAGTACTGCTGTAAATTTGTCTCGATTGAGTCATCTCATTGTGCTTCATGCTATCGGTATTGCATGATTCAAATAAAGAGGCTCCATGGAGAAATTTTAAAGCAGCTTGGAAATAAAGACTAGTGCTTTCACTGGATCCAGAATTCTGGAAGAGTGACAGAATAAGTTAGGTCAACATCTATAAGAAGATGAATGGATTTAAAAACATAAAAATAAAAATAAAATAAAAAATAACACAAGTAAAATCATTTCCATTTAAGTAGATAGTATAGATTTTATTGACCTTTTGGCGATCAGCAAGGTGTTTCAGGTTTGTAGCTTCTTTTACAGCATTTGTAGCAGCTTGACTGGAGGGCTCTCTTCGAGCAGGACTGGGAGCATCAAGATCTCGGAACTTGCGAATATTTGGACTGTTGTGCTGCAAACTAGTAGGTTGGTCCCTACTCTGGCTATGATCTTCCTTACCTTGTTTAGCCTTTGAAGCATCCCCCTCAAAAGTATCAACCGACAACAAATTTGCTGCATCTTTTTGAGATCCAGAAACTGGATGTAAACCTGCTGTTAGCCCAATTTTACCACTATCTGCTAATACTGGAAGTGGTTTCCCTCTCCCAGAGCTTGCAATTCCTTCTTCTTTGTCAGAAAAAGGCTTCTTAGTCAACCTTCCATCATCACTATCTGAAAGCAAAGCCTGCTTCTCAGAACCATCCATTCTAACATCAGTACAATTATTGTCAGTACATTTTGAGCGACACAATGCCTTAACAACCTTGTTCAACGACTTTCTTGAAGGATCCTTCTCAGGAATGGGTTTCTTCTCAATCTTATCTGAACCAATACCACTCCTGTCCGTGTCCTGAAATTTGTTTTGTCCTGCTTTTAATTTTTTGCCAGAGTAAGCTATTTGACCAGAAGATTCATTGTCAGTACCTTTGTCATAATCAGACCTATAACTCTGGCTCCTGTCTTTAGGCCTTGAAGAGGAACCCTTCCCAGACTTCAAGACTATTCCACTGTTATTATGGTGATGGCCATTCCTTCCGTCCTTATCATCCAGGTCTTTCTCCAAATTCTGTGCCTTAAAAGCATAGTGGTCACCCTGAGGTAAGGGATCTGTACGTACAGCAGCATCACGAGGATTTGCAGTATCAGGAGAATGTAGGGTGTATTGGCTCAATTTAGCACATGGCATATGACCCGAAAAGGACCCTTGATGCCTCACATCAAGATTTTGATCCTTCTTAAGAATCTGATATTGATATCTGCTCCCATCATCTTCCCCATCTGAAGATCTTCGTGGACTAAGCACAGAGAAAAGTCCAGCATCCTGACAATCATCTTTTCTGTCAAGGCTCATTGTAGAGACAAACTTATCTGATGTAGGAATTCTAAGAGGAGATGAAGACACTGATTCCACAGGAGAAGCCCTTAGTTCCTGGAGACTGGTTTTGTTTTTCTGTAAGCCAGAAAATTCAGAAGAACTTGAGGTGGCAGCCGGAGAGGGCTGCAAAGTTCCCATAGGCCTCAAGCCCCTTTTTAAAGAACCCATAGCATCTAAGCTCTGCTGAGACATGGTGCCATCCAGGTGCTGCCCTACTACTTGCTGCTGCTCCTTACTTCTACCCCTTTCACCATTTCCTTCATTGGATTTCTTTCCACTTGAATCTTTCATCACAGAGTGGGATTTCCTTCCTTTCTTTCCTTTCCTTTGGTCATTTTCACACATTTCTTCCACTAAATCAGTAGTATCTCGGGAATTACATCCTACACCAGGAAACATTTTATTACAGGTCTCTGCATACTGGCACTCATTCTCTTTCCTCTTCTTGAATGAGTCTTTAATGTCACACTTCCCCACATGCACAGAACCATCACTTGAACTCAATGGAAGATGAATCTGTGGGCTTCTATCTGGAACCACACTTTTCTTTTCATCAATATTTGAATCCTTATATTTATTTTTATTTTGATCCTTCACGAATGCACTTCGTGACAAACTGTTGCTTGAGCTACGTGTTGTTTTTTCCCCAGCAATGTCAACTATCCAATTTTCATCATTATAATTTAAATCATCTCTTTTCATCTTCTTGGAGGCTGTAGAACTCTCTAAATTTTTCTCGTTTTTATTCCTCAGTTTTGCATTTTTGTCACCTGTAAGCATTTGATGTTAGCAAAATAGGTTAAACACTAGTGGATAAAAGATTCCATAAAGCTCAATAATGAACACTTTAAACAAAATACCTCCATCAGAGTGGTTGTTCAGCAACTTTTTCCTCTCTTTCTGTTTTTGTCTTCCCTTCTCCATCATTGAGGTATTAGATTGGCCTGAGTACTTATGATACCTATTTTCATCAACTGAAGATTGGATGGTGTTGTTTAAACTGTTATTATTTTGGATCGCTTGAAAATTCTCATTTGTTTTGTCAGAAAACTGTGTAGGGCAATCCTGTTTGTTTTCATTCGGCAAAACTTTTGACCCATGTTTCTTCTTTCCACTAGCATCTGTAACGTGCATATGATTTGAATGCAAATCATCAACTGAAGCTACTCCTAAAAGATTCCCACCAGGATTTTGGTGATCATTGTTTTCAGTCTCAAAAGTAGAGGCAGTTGTGGCAGCAGGATGGAACTGGTGGAGGGATCTCAAAGCCTTAGTTGTCTCTTCCTCACTAATACCACAATGGTTCATCCCAGGCCTAACAAAAATGTTAAATGAATTATACTCATGCAATATGTACTTGAAAGAGAAAATTGTATGACTAAAATTTCCTTCAAAGCATCAACCACGTGTCTTTCAGGGTACCAGAGATTCTTTCACAGTGTCTAGGTGTTTTGAAAACAATGTTGGGATTGTAGATTCAATAGTCTACAGACAGATGTTTGGAAAATATTATGGTTTATAGATAACACAACACTTCTTAGCTTCTTTAAGCCAATAATCCATAAGTAACATATTATTATGAATTACCCAATACATACCCTAAACAGTATGCACAAGCTTTATAAAATGGGACTTTAATTTATTAATCCATATTATTGTGTGCATGAGTCTGATATTATTTTTTATAAGTAAATTCATATGTTGTTTTATACATAATACTGGTTAGCCATACTCCATCAAGTGTTGAAGGATAAGCAACAGAACTTACAGCCAGTCAAGCATCCTGCAATGCCACTTCTTGGGTAGACTCCGAGGATCAATACCAAATGGAAGTAAACGCCATGTCTGACACTTGTCACACATTACCCAATCTTCTTTAAGTACAGGAGCCTCTGCTGTTGGATCACTTGGACCAAAAGTAAGATTGGTCACATTTCCACAGGGAGCATTCATGTCTGAAGCTAACCTAGGCTGCTCCGCTGATGCAAATGACTTCTCAATCTTTGAAGCATTAGATCTTTCCTTCACTGTGTCATTGTACTCTACCAGGGTTGTCTTCCCAATATCACCAGAATCGTTGGGCATTTCCAATTTATGCATTTTCCCAAGACCAATTTCATCTTCTGCTTCAACTTCCAGGTCCCCAAATAACTCCCTATAAGTACTTTTAGCTCTTATATGGTTCTTGAAATCGTCTGAATCATGTGTAGATGTACTGGTGTTGCTAGAAGAGCTCTTTTTACGCTTGTGTGTCAAAGAAGAATCAGTTACAAAACCATCATTTAACACCTTCCCACCATCAGCATCATGAACCTGACTTCCTCGAAGTTTCTTTTTGCCTCCAGATGTAACCTGTTCCTTCCCATTAGCCAGTTTCAAGTCATCCTCATTGTTTAAGGCAACCTTCCAACAACCAGATAGCTCTGGTATACCAAGGAAATCAGTATTAAGAGCCTTTCTGTCTTTGTTCTGCCGAGCATTGGCTGAAACATCAGCTTGTACTCCATAGTTGCCCTCTTTATTTGAGTACCCTGTGCTGTTGTCAAAACGATTTGATTTTTTACTTTCCCAAGCCCCTCCACATGAATTACCCTTTCGATTAGACTTTTCAGTTCGGTCAGTCTCCATACCAGAAATGGGCTGAAAAACATCCTTGGGGGCACCATCCAAGCTCTCTTCCTTCACCATACAATGAAGATCAGTTCTCAGACTATCAACTGGCTTGGAGTGCTTAATAGGATCAGAAACAGTTGTACATGAGCTCATCAAAAGGGGGAGTTTCAAAGTCTTAGAAATGAGATCTTCACAACTCAAAATACCAACATCAATTTCCTTCTTTGATGGTAAACCTACAGAATCCTGAATGCCATTGTCATTACAATTAGCATTTTTCTCAAATGACTTCAACTTCCTCTCTTCCAAGATTTTCCCATTACCCACTGTGTAACCAGAGCCATTTAACATCACCCCAGAAGTTTCTATGAAGGCCTTGCTCAGGGGTTTACATACACTATTTCCCTGAAGACTATCTTTTTCCGTCAAAAGAATCAAATCATCAGATAGAGGAGATAACAACAAGCCACCATGAAATGGAACTGAGGTCATAATCTGCCCAAAAAATTGGAACAAATCAACACCACAGATCAAATAACCATTTTGCCCAAGAGAAAGGGAGAAGTAACAGATAAAGCAGGAGCATGACTCACCTGAATGATGCTTGTAGGGGATTCATCTGAGGCATCCCATGGGTCACGAGTTAACCCTTCACTATCGTCATGGCTATCATCCAACGATGATGATGGAGAAACATCAAGGCCGAGTCCACTATAGATTTCAGCATTCTTTTGAGTTGACAAATTTTCAGATCCAACTTTGATGCGCACCTTCAGACATTTCTGATCAGAAGAACTTGCACGCTTTTTAGGATTTTTACATATTAAAGTAGATTCTTCAGCCCGTGCGGGATGTGTCCCAATTTTGGCATCTACATTTGCAATAGAAGCCCTGGTTGCAGGTACAAGTACAGAATTTGTGGGAGCTGCACCAAGTCTTGCTGACAGAGAAGTGCTAGATGAAACTAATGAATTTTGCCTACCAACCTATATTATAAGACAACTCATGTTGCTCAGTAACAACTAGCGCCTTGATGTCAAGCAAAACATATTATTCTTCCATACAATAAAGTATATGTAGCTAATAAAAGCTAGAAGTGGCTACCTCAAGGTTCAGATTTTTGGGGGATCTTAGTATGTTATTGTTCGGGACATCTGGCGTAGTCCTTGGATTAGACCAAGAAGGTGAACTCTGATAAGGGGGTAAAAATGAACCATACCCCCCAAATTTTGACCCTGTCAGTAAATGCAAAGACCAATCATCTCAAGATGTGATGCATATTAATGTGGTTAACTAATTCATACAAATCTTTCCATCTTAGGTCTAACTTACCGAGATTCTCAGCAGAAACACCACCTTCGAAATCTTTTCGAAAATGCCCTAAAACATCTTGGATTTTTTCTTCCTACAAAGAATATAAAGTAGCAATAGAGAAAAACCATCAGCTATCAAGAACCCAAAAATAAAGTCAGCACTCAGTACTATATTGCTTGAAAAAGCATCTCCCGCCCCAAGATACACATACCCCAAAAAAAAACCCTAGAAGTGCATGTTACAAAAGGTTGATAAGTATAGAAACTTAGATACCTAAACATCTTAAATCTTCACTAATAAGGGAGTTCATATATTATTGCTTAAATAAGCAAAAGAGTGACTAGTAGCTAAAATGCTAGTATAACTTACATCTTCTCTATAAGGAATCCCTAAAGTAACCTTCAATTAGAAAGTGTAATTCACAAAAATCCAACATGATCATGAAAAATGACCTAAACTAGATTTGGAATAGTTTGGATTGACTCAGAGCACTTTTTACATTAATGAAAGTAGACATCCTTTTATATTCTAGACTTCTAGTTCAGTAATGTTAGTATGTGACTATACATGTAGTTCAAGAATTCAGCACCACAAGTGTATTTCAACAAATCAAATCACCTAACAACAAAGCTTTGTATATTGAAGATTGAGTTGCAAAATCACATAGGAGAAAAAGTCAGCAGAAACAAAATCAGATCAGAAAAAGCTATAATCTGAAGGAGCAATGTTCAATTTAAACTTTAAAGTCAGGTAAAATACGGATAAAACAGAAGAAAGAACAAGACGCTTACAATGTGGGTGAGAGCATCAGGGTCAACGAATGAATTTTCGTCACCGCCATTATTCTCATAAAAGCAAGCCTCCCCTTCTTCAAGCTCAGATTCTTCCATCTCTCTTCTAACACCTACCCCCTTCCTTCCATCTCTGTTCCCTACAAAAATCTTCAAAAATACAACTAAAAAAACCCCAAGCTCCTTCTTCAAACCCTCATCAAAAGCCGCTGTTTATTTCACCAGCAACTAACTGTATCTATACACACACCAAAATTTCACCCGCACACTCTTCGAATTCAAATCCTAACAAAAAAGCAGATAAACATTTCTACGCACCCCACCTGGATCGGGAATGGAATTCACCGTCACCAACCAATCTAAATAATTTATATATATACCTTGTAAGTAAGAAAACAATTCTGTATTGTACTGGAAAGAACTTAAGTTATTTTTCAGACGGCCTTTAAAGAAGAACAAATTTGAACTGCAATCGCCTTTTGCGATCTCTGAAGCTCAGAGCTGAGACTCAGAGTAGAGAGGGACAGAAACCTGGGAGAAGAGAGAGAGAGAGTCCGGTTTCTAGTTTAGCAGAATAGCAGCCGCTTTTAATTTTCTTTGTTGTTTTATATTTTTGCCATTTCTTCCATTTATTTACTACAATAATAGGAAAACAATTACATTTTTATCCTTCAATTATACACATGACGCAGATTTGGTCATTGAGTTATAGAGCAAATACCAATTTTGGTCCCACGAATATTAGCAAAATGACAATTTTGGTCTACATGTTTAATTCCTATAAATTTTCATCCACGACTATTATTTTAGTACCAATTTTCATCCACAACTATTGTTTTAGTACCAAAATTCATCACGCCGGTCACCATTTTATTTAAGACATGCCGAAATATGAAATTATTAATGGTAGTTTCGTGATTTTCAAATTAGGATCCATATTTGAGAATGAATAAAGGGATTTAAGCCCTAAGATCTATCTCAATTCGCATTTTTCCTCATCAAATTAAGGTAGGATGAGGAGGAGAACTGCAAATTGGGATCGTTCTTAGGGCTTAAATTCATTTATTTATGCTCAAATTGGAATCTTAGGTTGAAATAGACGAAAATGCCCTTAAAATTTTTAGATTTCGGGATATCTTAAATAGATGGGTGACCGACATGATGAATTTTGGTACTAAAATAATAGTCGTGGATTAAAATTGGAACTAAAATAATAGTTGTGGATAAAAATTGGTAGAAATTAAACATATAGACCAAAACCGTCATTTTGCTAATACTCGTGAGATCAAAATTGGTATTTGCTCTTGAGTTATATGTGTAATTATTTTAATCCCTAAATTATGGCTCTGTTTGGTAATATTCTCAAAATAAGCTCCTAACTTAAAATAAGAGCTTATTTTGGAATGTTACCTTATATATCGTTTCAAAATAAGCTTATAGCTTCCTAACTTTTTTCTATCTTTATCCTTATTATTTTAAAGAAATGACATAATTTATCCTTTCCAATTAAAACTATTTTCTCTTTTCCTTTATCCGCAAGGACCGCAACTTTCACCACAAATATTATTATTATTATTATTATTATTATTATTATTATTATTATTATTATTATTATTATTATATTTGCAACAATATTGCTACTTCATTATGAGATGTTAGATCATGATTATGCTAATAGTTTTATTTCAAAATGTTAATTTTTTTTTTAAAGACAAAATGTTAAATTTTAATATGTAAACAAATTAATTTAAATTTTATAAAGATGTCATTTTTAGTCTTTATCAGCTTATCAAAAAGCTAATTTTACCAAACACTTTCAATCATAACAACTAGCTTAACAGCTCTTCAGTTTTCAGCTCCGAGCTTATAGCTTTTCAACTTTCAGCTCCTAGCTTATTATAGCTTTTCAGCTATATTTGCCAAACAGAGCCTATATATTAAGTGGCAATTTTAATCCTTCAATGATTATTTTAATCGTGTTTCAAAAGAAAGAAAAAAAAAAGGACTATTTCTATCATGTCACACCAATGATTGTCCAATAATCTTTTGAATTAAATAATTAAGGAACCATTTAGACTCGAAAATGATAATGAAGATATATTTTGCGATTGAAAATCCATTACTTCGTTACTATAAGAACACTATTATGAAACCAGTAGTTCCATAATCGCATCGCGCCTGATATTATATCTGCAATGAAATTGCTAGCAACATTTGATGCTCATTTTGCAATGAAATAGTGTTTACACATCCTCCAGTATCTTTGAGGTACAATGATTTTAACATTTATGTGATAAATCAATGTGTGATTTTGATGGGTTATTTGGGTATTAACTGTTTTATTTGACCTCCATGATATCAAGTTTCAAACTGGTTATGTTTTGTTTTACCTTCATTGTTCTATACGAGGACAATAAAACTTGTGTTGCACAAATAATAAATTGGTATGTTTAAGAATATTTGACAGAGCATATATAGTGTCAAGATACAACACACGTAAACTCCAAAAGGGTCATGATGTTGTTATACATAATGTTCTTCAGAAGAGTCATGAAATTATTATACAGAATATTTACTCTAGTGACAATCTTGAAAATTATACCATAACTCTTTTATACACTTATCTTGGAACAATGTTTTTATATTAGAACGTGTAGACTTTGAATATTGTAATCTTCAGGGCGAGTGACATCTACTTGAATCGGTCATGAAGATTTGGACTTGAATAATCATGAAGATTGGGTCATGAAGACCAATAACTGTACTATTTTTCCTTTGATTGAAAAGTTTTTTAACGAAGCAGCTAGTGCAACACAAACATACATAATGTACAATTTTCCTCACCAAGTTTTTCCAATTAATTTTTCTAATGAGGTTTTTAACGAGGCATGGTTATGATAAAGTAATGTCAAATGGGGAAAGTTGCAAATAAATATTTAAATGGACGAACCCCAAAATTCTGAAGATTATGCCCTAAAAGTTTATGGTTGTGTTTTTTTTTTTTTTCCTTAGTTAAGTTTTTCCCACTAGATTTTTTTAGCATAAGATTTTTAATGAGACAACTCTGTATAACACATGCTTTGAAATACATCATGTACTCTTTTCCTCAATTAGATTTTTTCACAGAATTTTCTTAGCAATGCTTTAATGATGCATGAGAATGGTTAGATAATGGCCAAAGGAGAGTGTTGTAAAATATATTTAATGTTATGACCATTATCCGCCTATTATTCTAGCATATATATTGTATGTATATGTATTAATTCAGTTATTAAGATAAGTGGGATTCCAGTGCTCAAGTGCTTCTTCTTCTTCTTCTTCTCTTCCTCTCTTTTATACTCTGGATTATTTGAGTATATAATAGTATAATTACACAAGATTCATGAGAGGATACACCATAATTTACAACAGTCATATATATCTTGGATTAAAAAAAAATTCCTGTTTTAGTAGAATATATATTTTTCGTTTTGTATGAATTCTATTACCATATTATTATTATTTAATCATTCTAAAAAGGATAGCAATCTCTCTATATATAGCAATATAGTAATTAAAAGGGAAAATGGCACTTTTTCCCCCTGAGTTATATACTTATAGCACTTTTTTCCCCTCAATTATTTAGGTAAACACATTAGCCCCCTCAATTATTTTAAAAGTGGTGCTTTTTTCCCCCTGATATATTAAATTGACATTTCTATCCTTAAAGAAAACATTTTATTTATTTTACTTCTCCAACAAATTATTGCGTATACGTAGGGATGACCACGGTTCGGTTTGAACTGAACCCGACACTAAAGCAATCGAATTAAAAGTTTCCGGTTATGATTCAGATTTAAAACCCAATATTTAGATGTCAATTTATTAAAATTATGTATAAAAAATTTGAATCTTGAACCGTAAACCGGCGGTTCCGGATCCGGTTCGCGATTTTGAACTGTCTTTATTTTAAAATTTTAATTTTTATTTTAAAATAGTCTAAATTCAACAATAAATGTATTTTTTTCAGTTCGGAACATGAACCGTCCGTTCCGGTTCACGATTTTAATAAACTCTAAATATCGGGTTTCGATTCTAAATTGTAATTGGAATATTTCGGTTTGGTTGCTTTAGTGTTTGTTTGGTTTGAACCAAATTATGATAATAATTTGTTATAGAAAAAAAATAAATGAAATATTTATTTTAAGGGTAAATATGTCCATTTAACATTTCAGGGGGAAAAATAGCCACTTCAATAATTCAGGGGGAAAAAATGCTATAGGTATATAACTCAGGGGGAAAAAGTGCTATTTTCCCTAAAAATAATATAGCAAGTATGAATGAGATTGTATTTGATTTATTTTTGTTTTATTTTGCAACAAAGTTTCCATTTATGCACATGAAAATATAGAAAAAAAAAACTAGTTCAATTATTGTAATTTAAATACAGGATTTAAAAAAGAGTTAATTAGAACGGAAGTCCCATGTCTTTGGTGACAATTTTAAATTTAGTCATAGATTATTATTTTTTTCATTTAACACTCAGACTATCATATTTTGAACTCTTATGTTCCTTTTGATGACTTTTACTGTAAAATCCTATTTTAGACAATGATATTTTTATCCCTTCAATTTTTTTCTTTAAATTTTTTCAATGAGTATATATATTATAGCGGATGTCCCTTGTCTTTGATGACATTTTCAAATTTATTTTTAGACAATCATTTTTTATAAAAGGATTCACATGAGATCATGTTCTTAGAAAAAAAAAAATAAAATCAATTCGAGCCGTTCATCTGAACAATTTAACAAATTTAATGGAATTTGAGAAAAGAACACGATGATATTCTAGTAATTTTAGTCAACTTTAAAAGTGTAATTTTTAACATTACATTGTGTAATTTTTAATAATATAGAGTGCATTTTTTGATAAATCATACAATCTAAACCAAAAAACTACATCCTAAGCCTAAATTGTGAACTATATGCAATAAAAATTAACCCCTAAATCGAACTAAAAAAAAGAAAAAACTAATTCATAAATTATAAAAGATCACTCTAAGTGCGCTACACTTTCAAACTGGTCAAAATGCACGATATAGGGGTCGTTTACTTCGTTTTTCTGTTTTTCCATTTTCAGTTTTTCATTTTTCCATTTCTCCAGTTTTCTTTCTCTATTCTTCCAGTTTTCCAATTTTCCAATTTTCATTCCCATTTCTCTAATTTTCTGATTTTATTAAATATGATCATCCCATATAGCATTTTTACATTTCTACAATAATAATAATAATAATAATAATAATAATAATAATAATAATAATAATAAATATGTGTGCATAAGAATGAGAAAAAAGGAAAAAATGGAATAATAATAATAATAATAATAATAATAATAATAATAATTATAATAATAATAATAATAATAATAATAATAATAACTACTGGGCAAACAAAAACGGAAGCATAATTGGGCAAATAAAAATTGAAGCGTAATTGGGCAAACAAAAATTGAAGCAAAGGCTTTGCACATAGCAGGACTCAAACTGGCGACCTTTGCTCCAAGTGCACTGTTCACCCGTATCTCTTCCTATCCCTCCATTTGGAG